CAAGTGCTGGAGAGGCTGTGGAGACACTGGAATGCTCATCCATCGCTGGAGGAATTGCAGGATTGCACACCCACCATGGCACTTCTTAAATACAAAAATCTTATGATCCTGCACTCTCCACTTGGTATGTACCCTCAAGAAAGGAGAAAACAACAGACATATGCACACCGATGTTCAATGCACCAATTTCCATTGCAAAAAGATGGAAACTAAAGAATTCCAAGTATGAAGGAGTGGATAAACAATTCTGGTACATTCATGCAGTGAAATGCTATGCATCCTTAAAACACAAAGACAGATCTGTTAAACACCTTAATGCGTGGACAAAATTAGAGAACATTATACTTAACAAAGTCAATCACAAGAAGATAAAAATTGTGTGACACCAGTATTATAAAGAAAAACAGTCTCACACCCAAGGATGACTGTAAAGACTACAAGGAGGCCAGGGGCAGCGGCTGGGCTTGGGGCAGTGAGGAGAAGTGTGGGAGAGGAAAACCATAGGGAGGTGTTAGTACGGTTACTCGTTTAATTTGGTAAGATGGGATGTTTAACTACAGAGAATATGTTTTTCTTTCTAACTATTATATTCCACAAACAGAAGGGAAACAAATAATATATACATAAATTAGACAAAAATCATAAATTAATCGAGCTGAAATTCAAAAGAAGAGAGAGGGAAGGGTCACAGCCTTAAAAATCCTTCCAGACCAGGCGCCCTTCAGGTCTAAACATTAGTCTGAGTGGATGTAAAAGGAGGAAGAGTTAATCGGAAGCCGACTGTGATTTTTTAATGACATACAAGTTCATTTCAGACAAACAAAAACCCCCAAACAAAGATGACTTGCAGGCAGCCAACAAATATATGAAGGCATGCTCTCAATCGCTGGCCGTCTCTCCCAGAGACGTGAGTCCAAACAGCAGTGAGACACTGTCTCATCCAGAACTAACATCAGAGCTCAAAAAGCAACAAATGAAACAAAAAAAAAATTAAAAAAAAAAAAA